TTGAAGCTATTTGGGTTATTGTGGATAGATAGACCAAATCTACTCACTTTATTCCTATGCGAATCGATTACCCGTTGGATAGGTTGGCAAAGCTATACATTGAGAGGATTGTTAGTTTGCATGGTATTCCTTCTAGCATTGTGTCAGATAGAGATTTGAGGTTTACTTCGAGATTTTGGGAGAGTTTGCAAAGTGCTTTGGTACGAAGTTACGTTTGATTTCAGCTTATCATCCGCAGACTAATGGTCAGACTAAGAGAACGATTCAGTCACTTGAGGATCTTTTGAGAGCTTGTGTGTTGGAGAAGGGAGGAGCTTGGGATGGCTACTTACCTTTGATTGAATTTACTTACAACAACAGTTTTCATTCGAGTATTGGTATGGCACCGTTTGAAGCATTGTACGGTAGACGGTATAGGACGCCATTGTGTTGGTATGAGTCGGCAGAGAGTTCTGTGGTTGGACCCGAGATAGTCCAGCAGACTACCGATAAGATTAAGATGATTCAAGAGAAGATGAAGATTTCTCAGAGTCGTCAAAAGAGTTATCATGACAAGAGGAGGAAAACACTTGAATTTCAGGAGGGGGATCACGTGTTTCTTTGGGTTACTCCTATGACCGGTGTTGGTAGGGCATTGAAGTCGCATAAGTTGACGTCGCGTTTCATTGGTCCTTATCAGATTTTACAGAGGATAGGAGAGGTATTCTATCGTATTGCTTTGCCGCCGTCGCTTGCTAATCTCCATGACGTGTTCCATGTATCTTAGTTGAGGAAATATATTGCGGATCCTTCTCATGTAGTCCAAGTAGATGATGTGCGGGTGAGAGATAACCTAACTGTGGAGACATCACCTATGCGGATAGAGGATCGGGAGTTGAAGCAACTTCGAGGCAAAGAGATTGCTTTAGTGAAGGTCGCTTGGGGAGGACCGGTTGGTGGAAATGTAACTTGGGAACTTGAGAGCCAGATGAGGGAGTCGTATCCCGAGTTGTTTGAATCAGGTAACATTTTAGAGGACGAAAATTCCTAAGTGGGGGAGGGTTGTAACAGTCCAATTTTCAATAATTAATTATTCATGTTAATTAATTGATTTATTTGGATTATCTTAATTATTGGATGATTAATTAAATGAATTGGTAGATATTTTGAGAGAAGAAAATATTGGAGAGAGTTTGAAGGGAAAGACATATAAGAGGAAAAGCGGAAAGAAAAGAAAAGATAGAAACATAAGAGAAGAGAAAGAAAGAGGAAGAGGAGAAAAGAAAGGAAAAAGAGGAAAACTTGGATTCTTCAAGAACAACTTCCAACTTTCGATTAATCGAGGTAAGGGTGTGAAATGTTGTTATTTTATCAATGTTTATGATTATGTATGGATTGTTTGGGTGTTTTCTCCATTTTTAATTCTAGGGCATAATGAGTTTAATCAGTAGAATCGAAGTTTTAACGGTTAAAATCGAGAATAAATGGTGTAGTTTAGTCGGGTAACGTTGGGTTAAGATTACTAGAATTGATTGGAATTGAATCGGTTGATTTTGGGAGGATTGGACGATTTTTGACAGTTTGGGGTTTTGAGTTCGCAGATTCGCTAACGTTCGCTAGGCGAGCATAAGCGAAGGTTCGTCAGGCGAATCCCAGCGAGTGGGTAGCGAACCATTACAATAGCCAAAATCAACCTTCGCTGGCGTGTTTGCCAGGCAAAGGAGGTGGCGAGAGGTTTCTCCAGGCGAGTATGGCAGCGAGTAGTAGCGAACACTTCCAGTAGCTACTGTCTGCCTTTGCCAGCATGTTCGCCAGGCGAGTGGGGCAGCGAGCATTCGCCAGATGCTTCGCCAGGCGAAGGACATCGAGCGTGACAACATTTTTGTTTTCTTTGAGATTCCATCCAATGTGGATTCCTTGGTTCGATTGTGTTCGGTCCTTGTTAGAAATAAGTAATTGTATGCTGTGAATCATATTCTGTGGGTAGCCGTAAGGCGTGAATCCTAGATTGTGGAATTGATTATGAAATGTGGCCTTTTGGCGTATATAATGCATTGTTTTAATTTGATTAAAAATGCATGATAAATTGTGATGAGGTTTGTTTCCGTTTGGCACGATTTTGTGAATATATATATATATATATATATATATATATATATATATATATATATATATATATATATATATATATATATATATATATATATATATATATATATATATATATATATATATATATATATATATATATATATATATATATATATATATATATATATATATATATATATATATATATATATATATATATATATATATATATATATATATATATATATATATATATATATATATATATATATATATATATATATATATATATATATATATATATATATATATATCGATTATATGTTATAGTATGTGAAGAATTCATGGGAACATATTGTGAATATGTGTGCATTGCTTAATAATGTGGTGATGGTATTGAATTATGAATGCATATTGTTTGTATGTGATGTTGTGAAGAATGCATGGGAACATATTGTGAATATGTGTGCTTTGCTCGATGAATATGAGGTTATTGAATATGAATATGTTGTGTGTGCAATCATGTTATAATTCTTATGTGATGAATTATTGAGAATGCATGAGATTAAGATGCGAGAACGGTCTTAAGTGCATTTGGTGGTTGATTGCATATGCATCATTTAGTCAAGAGGCAATGTTTGCTAGTTTTGTGGAGACTAGTGACTTGTCCCAAACCTAGAAGGGTGGGTTTGAAAGCTTAGGGAACGAGCTTTTGTTGTTATCGGTCTAGAAGGGCAGACCCGGTTTAAGTGTAAAAACCGAAAAATGATAACAAGTGTTGGTACCAAATGACATTAGTTGCATTGAATTGCATTTAGTCACATGATTAATGTGTATTGTTGTATGAAAGTATACTTGTATGTGAAGTATTGAATTGAGAATTATGGATGTACGCATGATGAAATGTGGTTGGGGATTTTCCATGTTTATTTATACATATGTTGTGATGTATATGATGATTAGAATGAATTGTGGTGAGAAAATATGGAATATATGTATTCTGTACTTGTGTAAGTATATATATATAATTATATGCATTGATTATTATGATAATATTTATCACCATTTTGCTGTTTTATAATGTTCTATGAGGCATTGCATATTAGATTTTGCTGGAGGTCTTTTGTGAAGTATAGCTTCATTCTTTTGTCGGTTATCTCTGATATGTAGCACCGGGTAGTTAGGCTTGTATAATATTCTTTTGGGATACATTTTGTATATGTATCTGATGGCAAATAATTATGTAAACACGAATGATGTGATGAAACAAACTGAATGATATGTATTATATGATTACATGTTTTAAGTGATTCAATGTTTAGATTTTCCGCTTTAATTCTAAATATTGAGATGTGGGTGTAAGGACTAAGTTCCTTTGTTGAAGCTACCCCACTATTACATGTCTTTTATAGAGTAGGTGTTGTATGTTATTTTGTGCATGATGTGGCATACTTCTTTTATACCATGTTTCAAATTTACTCTGATGCAATTTTATTATCTGATTTATTTGTTTATTTGGGGGTATAGAAGGGGGTGTTACATTGGCTGGCCATGATGACTGGTAGGTAAATGAAGAGTTGCTTTGGTCTTTAGGTTTCAAGGAAAGAAAAGACGGGAAAGCAAATTTTCCACAGACAACGCCACTGATTTTACCGAATCAGAAAGTGGATCAGCGGCCAACAACACGTCGTGAGCTTCAAGTTTACCGGTGGTGGAGAAGATGAGGGGGTGTACCTGCAAGACACTCTGATGCCAAAGTGAGGAAGGGAGTAAAAGAGAGAGCAAGTACAGATAGTGAGTTTAGAATTAGAATACCTAATTCTCCTGTGGAGGAGAGTATTTATAATGTGCCCCCAGCATTGGGTCAACGGTCATCTGTTTTGGGCTGGATCGCAAATCCCACAACAGATGACTGTCAGGATCTTACGTGGCAATAAGGAAGACCCGCATATGGTCTTCGTCCTGGGTCAACTGCCCCACGAGCTTCGGAGAGATGAAGACTTGTTTTCTCGGACGTGGGTAGTTGGTTGATGATGTGTTCCCACGTGGAGTGCACGTTGAGAACGCGTGGTGAGCGTGTGGGATGCGTGACCACCAACGGATATGCGAACTTAGGCCTTTGGTTTGGCCCTCCCCGACGGCCCTATATATATATATATATATATATATATATATATATATATATATATATATATATATATATATATATATATATATATATATATATATATATATATATATATATATATATATATATATATATATATATATATATATATATATATATATATATATATATATATATATATATATATATATATCAAAGCATAACAATTTTAAATTTCTTTCTATCAATTTTCAATTGTCCAAACAATAAAATACACTAAACACAGATTAAAAAAATTTAACTCTATTTAATTTATTTATTCAAAAAATAATCTTTTTCTAATTTCAATAAACAATTAGTACTAATCTTAAAAAAGTACATATTTAAGGAATAATTAATTTTGTCTTCCTAAAAAAGAGACTTCACTCTTGTTTTCTTAGCTTTTAGACCTTCTTCCTTTAGGTTTAGAAACAGGAAGTCCAACTATTGTGTTCGGATATAATTGATTTTGCTTTTTTAAAATTTGATTCTACTTTGAACCAAAACTTATAATTTTCTAATGTAAGCATGATTTTTATAAGAAAATTTTAAGTGCAGAGCAAAATCTTATCCAAACATAAATCACTTATAAATGATCAATTGACTTGCAATCAAATTTTTTTAGCACATAATGAAACACGCTCTAAGGAGTTCTAGTATATGTGATGTGTAGCAAAATTGTGATCCACATATCACATCATATTTTCACAATGGATAAGTTGCATAGTGACCCAATCAACTTTCAACCTTGTCCCTTCCTTCACACATTCCACTTATCACAAAAATGGCAACATCTCTATTCACCTCCCTTCTCCCCTTCACTTCATCAACTACATCACATTCAAACCTCTCACCTTTTCGTGCATTCAGAGTCTCAGCTTCTGTCTCAGCACCTGAAAATCACTTCCAACACATTCCCAGAAGAGAGTTCTTAAAGGGTGTTGCTCTTTCTCTCCCACTTATCGCTCTCACTGAGCCACCTCCCTCACAAGCTAGAGACGTTGCAGTTGGTTCTTTCCTCCCTCCCTCATCGTCAGACCCTTCGTTTGTTCTCTTTAAAGCTTCTGCTAAAGACACTCCTGCCCTTCGAGCAGGTACATTCATCTTTCAATTCGAGAGACTGGTATTTACATAGTTATATTATTCAAGATATTCCCAATAATCTAAATAATTTAATGGACTGTTATTTGGTTTCCTCTCCTGCACATGATTTGGCTCATTAAATGATGATTAGGTCTTAGGAAGTTGCACTATTTTGGAAGATGTTCAATAACTTATATAGTTTCTGATCAATTTTCTATTGCCTTTTCTCTAATTTATATATTCATTTGAAATCGTCAACTACTATTCTTTGCAACTGATAGTCTAGATTTAGTTCTTTGCAGGAAATGTTCAGCCATACCAATTCATCCTTCCCCCAACATGGAAACAGCTTCGTATAGCTAACATACTATCAGGAAATTACTGTCAACCAAAATGTGCCGAGCCATGGGTGGAGGTTAAATTCGAAGATGAAAAACAAGGAAAAATTCAGGTAGTTGCTTCCCCTTTGATACGTCTAACCAACAAACCAAATGCAACAATTGAGGACATCGGGAGCCCAGAAAAGGTGATCGCTTCTCTCGGCCCATTTGTCACCGGAAACACTTTTGATCCAGACGAACTCCTCGAGATGTCAGTTGAAAAAGTTGATGATCAGACGGTATGTTTGCTTTCTATAGCCTATGTTGTCTAAACATTATGACAACTGTTAGTGACTAACATTACTGAAAGTTGTGTGTGCAGTACTACAAATATGTGCTTGAAACTCCATTTGCTCTTACTGGTTCACACAATCTTGCAAAAGCAACAGCTAAGGGAAACACTGTTATTCTGTTTGTTGCTAGTGCCAATGACAAACAGTGGCAAACTTCTGAGAAGATTCTAAAGACCATGCTTGATTCCTTTAAAGTGTAGTTTTCTGTTGTTACAGGTAAAGAAGATAACTTTACCATTGGTTTATTCTCTTCTAGTTTTTGTTTATACACGCGATTATTAAGCAAGAGCTGTGTTAATCCCCATTTAAAAATTTTTCATCTTGAGTTGAAATAAAATTTTACTTGTTCTAATTCATTGTAACTAGAATTTTGCTTTCTAATAGGTGTTTTAAGATATTCTCATAGCTTATAGCTTTGAATGCACTGTGAGACTAGTTTTCAAGCTGATAGCAGAACATCTGCTTTTAATATATCTTCACAACTAAGAGAATTTGCGGGCCGGTTTGGTTCGGTTTTGAGAGAATTTGATATCCAAACGGATTAAAATATATGAAATGGTTTGGATTGGATTGGATTTGCACATTTTTGCGATAACATTCAAACCAAACCAAACTGAAAAATAACAGGTTGGTTTGGGTTTGATTGATTGGATACATCACAAACAAATGTGCAAAAATATTTTTAAAAAATATCTAATTTACATCAACTAACTTTTCGTAATAATATAATATCATTTATCTTTTGGTGTCTCCATATAGATTATGAATGTCATAAATGACGTTTTATTTTTTTCTTCTTGAAATTGAATACTTTATATTAGCTTTAATGATAATGATATATAAATTATACAAATTAGTTATTGTTGGTTCTGATAAACGGACTCGTGAGTAGAATTTTGGAAATTTGTGGACCAATTAACATTGGATTTCATTGGGTTGGTTCGGTTTTTACCCGAGTTAAAAAAATACCCACCCAAACACTATGGTTTGATTTGTATTTCAGTTTAGTTCGGATTTGTCCAAACCAATGAACACCCTTATTCACAACGTATAATTTTTTACATTTCTCGAGCCGATAGCTAAACAACTGGTTTTAAGATATTCTCACAACTTATGACTTTTGAATCTGTTGTGAGACCAAGCCTCAAGCAGGTAGCAGAACATCTGGTTTTTCTAGGGGTAGAACTTCGGAATTCGCATTTATGTTAGTTTCAATTTATTCCTGACGATGTGTATAAATGCAAATATTATGAATGAAAAAGAAAATGACAAACCACTATTCTAGTCTCATCAAATGTATAACTCTTTCATTTGAAATTGTTAAAATCACGATTTAAAGATTTTACATTTCTAAGTCTAGCATTTTATGTTAAATTGCATGTAAAAGCGATGATTTTAAACAATTTGAATTGCACTTAAATCAATGAAATTGTGTAAAATTATGATAAATCATAAAATCAACTTTCATAAACAAAAATAACTTGACATTAAATTAAAACACTCAATGTTACATAGATAGTTGTTAACATTAATTTAACATTATATATTGTTATAAACGAGTAGTTCAGGACGTTGCAACATATTAATAATATCGTCAACGGATCTTGTAATCTTCTCATCCATTTCAAACGGACCTTTTGATGCATAACGGTAAAATGTACTCCACATAATATTTAAATCTTCATCCGTTTTCAGTTCAAAGTTGGTAAACTGCATCTTCCCTTCTCTACCAAACGAGAGTGAACGATACTCGAGCTCGACAAATCTCTGATTTTCTAGATATCGCAGGAGAGTATTGAATTTGGCTTTCAGATCGACGAGAAGTATGTCTTCACATATTCGAATTTGAAGTGGGGGTTTTGCGTCATTGAAATGCACAAATGCAAGATGGGATAAGTAGTCATTCTCTAATTGTTTGTGTTTTCTAGAAAATATGGAATGAGAGACACCCTATTTATACAAGTTTTGGGTCACTTTGAATCTTAGAAAATTTATCATGTCATCAGGAATCTTTTCGGAGAAGCATCTCCGAATAAACCAGTGTTTTAAAAACCGAACCGGCCGGTCGGACCGGGAACCGGGACACTAGCCGGCCTGGTTCAATTGGCGGATCGGCCTCGCCATTGAACCGGTGCAAACCGGCGGTTTAATTGTTTTTTTTTTTTACTTTTTATTTTAAATAACTTTTTTTAACTACTTTTTTTAATATACTTAGTAGTGTATTACTTAAATAGCATTCTCACATAAAAAAATTTCGTTAGTGACAAATTACAGACTTTATTGACTATTTGTTATTTTTGCTAATACATTTTTCTAAATAGTTTGTAACTTTGTGGTTAGTAACAAATTAGTTACCTTATTATTTTAACTTTTTAGATTGTTATATATTTTATCTTTTTATATTTTGTAACTGTTAATAATTTTAATTAATTATAATTTATAATTAATTATATTTAGTGTCAAAATATTAACAATAGAAAAATGCATGTATTTTGTTGAAAGGAAAAGTGAAATAGCATAAACATATTGAATTTTATTTGGTTTTCTTTTTAGGAGAATCATATTTTACTTACAAATAGTTACCTCTTATTTCATAATAATCAATAAATGATATCATTGATGGGGAAGTTGTTGCAATTAGACTTTGTTTGCAATTAGATTTTGTAATTTTGTATTATTTTGTTATGTGTGATACATTTGTTTAAAATTTGAATTTAAATTATGAACTTGTGAATTTATGATATGATATTTTCAAAAAATTTAAGAACTAGTTATATTTTTTTAGAAACTGAATCATCCGGTTCGACAGGTTTTATATCTATATAATGACAGGTCTATTCAATCGAGTTATCCAGTTTAATCCGGTTTAGTCATGCGGTTCGACTAGTGACTCAGTTGTTCGACCGATAAACCAGTGACCCAATACCCTCACTGGTTCGATGACCGGTCCGGTTTTTAAAACACTGAAATAAACCATTTTTTTTACAAAAAAAAATGGTGTTTACGAATATGCACATTCGTAAACTGATCTGTTATATTATTTTTAATTTAGTGTGGAATTTATCCGAATATGCATATTCCGAATCATCCTGAACTAGAATCACAATAAAAACTATATAAACAAAAACATAAAATGTAAATCATAAAATTTGTAAACAATAACAATCAACATTTATGCCATCATTGTTGAATATACATTACTCATGTATTAAATCGTATCAAGATTACAGAGTTGACAACAATACATTAAAAAAAAAGTGTATCGATCATAATATTCTAAAATGTATTAAAAGTTGCAACACCACGTAAAGCTAATATTGGTTCCTCTTTTGACTTTTTCTTATTTGATTCTCTTTCAATCTCTCTTAATTCGATGAACTCTTCCATTCTTTCTAGAAATTGATCCAACCAAGTATCCGCCTCTTTTGTGGAATGTGTCATCCACTCCAATGATGCCCAAAATATGTCACGACCAGTGATTTTATCCTTACAAACTTTGTACCTAGAAATATAGTGGCTATCATCCAAAAGCTTTAAAAGTTGTTTCATTTCGGATATATGACCTCTTATCGCCATGTTGTTTCGATAACACGCATTATATACTTGCTTGATATTTGAAACACTTTCAGGTATTTTCCGTTTCAAATCTGTAGGTATATTTTTCGACGCCACCCTGATTAAAGACATGTCTGAAACAATTTCCTTCTCCTCCAATTTAAGGCAGAAAACGATGGGATGACAAATTAGCTTGATTTGCAAAACATAAAATCGCATTAAATTTCCATGTATCACTCACTTTACAATATCTGAGCAATTTAAACGGACACTCATATTTTCTCGTTCTGATGTCATCACGTTTCAACTTCTGAAAAGGTAGAACATACTTGCCACTTCTCTCGCATCTCATGGTTGCAAATGTTCGTCTTCTATTTGAATCATTGTCAGACCTTTCGATTACAATCCCAAATCTTAATTTATTGGCCTCTGTAACACCCTACTCTACCATTCATATAATAATTTGAAAACACGAAAAATTGCGGAAATAAATCAGAGTTACACACGTAGGATGCCACATTCAAAAACATCATCATGAAGTATCAAATCACTTCATATCTCATTTATTAATAAAAACAAATAATTCGATTAAACAACAAAATTAAATCAATAGTTTTGCATTAAAGCCCCAATCACATCAACTATCCACATAATATGTGGTTTAACATCATTAATAAAAACCAGATACGTAACAAACAACAAAGAATAAATAACATGAAAACATGACGAAATCTCCATCCTTCCCGTGTTACGTATCAGAGCGAATCTTAAGACTCGATCAAATAGCAACACAAGCTCCAAGCACTACTCAGGTACCTGATCATCTGTACTCCCCAAGGAGCACAGACACAACAAACAGAAAAGGGTGAGAACTACATTAAATAATACACGATAAAAATCACATGCTAAGGAGTAGTTAACACACAAATCACGCAAATCATACAAGTACAACGCACATACAAGTGTCACATCATCATTCAACATAATCAGCCCACATTCAATCATATACATATGCAATGCGACTCAACTGACACGATAAAATGCATGCGGTACCAACACAATCACATACGGTTCACCCTAGAACCTGATTCCTATTGGAATCCGGATAAGTCGTATACGTTCCTCTAAACTACAACTTATCTCCACTCGACTCCCACATAGAGTCCGGATGAGACTAGGCACCCATCATGGATTCCCACCTAACTCACCTCCACATGACATGACATGAATGCATGACACAAAATTATGCACAATGTAATAATTATTCAAGCATAACTCACGATCCTCAATGATCCCACGTGATTCACATACCCACCGTAATTCCCTCCGGAATTACCACCACAACCCAAGACCGTCCACATACGACCATCTTGGCTCTCAAACATCCAACACGTCTCAACCAGACAATTTCATAAAATCTCATATTTTATCCTATATAATGTCATTACTACTTTCTTCTATGTCCAATTATACCATCGCATTCTTAGGAATCAAAATAAATTGCATTACACGCGAAATCGGGACAGAAATCACAAACACGGGAAAAACTCGTTATAGCTCTGCCCATACGCATATGGCCTTGCCACATACGCGTATTACCTCCTCCCCACGTAGGGCCTCCCTGTGTATCATATGCGTAGGGCCT